AAATCAACAACAAAACAAAACTACCTACTACTATGGAGAAAATGACAAGACTTTAATACCAAAACCTACAAAGAGATCTAGTGACAGACAAAATGATAAAATTTCTCCAAACACAAGAACCATGTCCTTATTTTTCCCTTGTTCCCAGATGCCACTGAAACTATCACGGAGTCAGTGCCGGAGATCCTCAGCTTCACTGCAGGCCCTGCGCTGCCTCCAGAACCCCCACATCTCCCCACTCCCAGTCACTTGGGCTCCTTACGCGGTGGTTATCACATCTACCCATCCACCCATCCTTTTCCCTAAAACACAGAGTTGAGGACCACTAAGAGATGTCTAAAACATTATCTGCCCAGGCCCTCTCCTAAAGCACCAAATACCTTTGATACTGAATACTTTTGAAAAGAGGTTGTTTTCACTCTCCTAAAAAATGGTAAAGGCTGGGTCTGGAGAGATGGCTTAGCAGGAAGAGCACTTTGCTCAAGCAAAGGACTTGAGTTCGGCTCCAGGACCCATGTCAGGAAGCCCTCCATGTGCACTCGCATACACTCACACAGACACAGACACATTAAAAAAGAAAAGAAAAAAAGGGTGAAGGTGATGGTTTTGAAAAGCTAACAAAGGACAAGCGCCATGAAAAGCCGATTGAGAATATTTTTAGTACTGCATGAAATCCACACAATGCCTCCCACAGCACAAGCTATTCTTGCAACGCGGTGAAGCAACTAAAAGAAAATCTGGAAATAGAAGTGAATGTTTGGCTGTGCATGGTGGCTCACACCTGTAATTCCGGCACTTATGAGGCTGAGAAGTAGAGCGCTTGCCTATAGTTTAAGGCTAGCCCGAGCTACATTGTTAAGTTTTAGGCCTACCTGGGCTACAGGGTAGATTAATTAACTCTTTTGGAAATGTATAAAGCAGATTTAAGCACCCTGACTGCAGGACTCTGTATTACTGATCAATTACAAGCTAACAGAGTCAAAATGCACAGCTTTCCTTTTGAAAAACACATCAAAACCACTTTCCAGGAAAGAATGTGACACCTCAGGCCTGCACTCATGCACGGATCGAGGTGACTTCATCTTGTACCTCCTGTAGTTTCTGGGGAACTTTATGAATACAGGAAGACAAAACCATGTCAGTAAAGTCCTGTCAGTTCTTAGTTATGCAGCACAGTACGGGAGCGTGCCTCTCAAACGCTCACATTCCAACAGGCACCCAGCACTGGGTGTGGTGCTGTTCGCCAGAGACAGGCAGACCTCTGTGAGCTCCGGGCCTGTCTGATTTACATGGCAAACGCAGCCAGTTACACAGTGTCTCACAAAAGAAAAGTCACCCAACATTAATTGTCTCCTAGAACTGTATTTAATAGTCACCCTGTGGTGTGGGAGGCCCCTCTGTGTGTTGCTTGTATTGGTTAATGAATAAAGAAACTGCCTTGGCCTGATAGGGCAAAACTTAGGTAGGCGGAGAAGATAGAACTGGATTCTGGGAGGAAGAAAGCAGAGTCAGAGAGATGCCATGGATCCACCAGAGACAGATGCTGGGAATTTTCCCCGGTAAGCCACTGCCACATGGCAATACACAGATTAATAAAAATGGGTTAAATCAAGACGTGAGAGTTAGCCAATAAGAGGCTAGAGCTAATGGGCCAGGCGGTGATTTAATTAATACAGTTTCTGTGTGGCTATTTCGGGACTAAGCTAGCCGGGAGGACAGGACGAACAAGTGGCCTGCTCCTTGTAACAACCCTGTCCGGCTGGAGAGATGACTTGAGGGTTAAGAGCATTTGCTTCTCTTGTACAGGACATGAGTTCAGGTCTCTGTACACACACTAGACAGCTCACAACTGCCTACCACTCCAACTCTAGGGGATCTAACAACCTTTCCGGCTTTCTCAGGCACTGTGCACACATATACACACAAACACAAATAAATAAAATTAAAATAATTTTAAAGAGGCAGTCTTTTGTGATTTGTGGTCATTTTTTTAGCTAAGGATCACAATATCTTAAGCTATAACTAATACGCCACAGTGAACAGAACACGGCATCACCCTTGTGATTGAGAAGGCTCCTGTGGACCTGTGACCGCAGCAAGCAGCTGTCAAAGGCACACCAGGGGACAGGAGACTATGTTCTCTACTAAAGAATTCAGCTTCAAGCCAGGCAGTGGTGGCTCACGCCTTTAATCCCAGCACTCAAGATCTCTGTGAGTTCCAGGCACCTGGTCTACAGAGTGAGGCCCAGGACAGGCACCAGAGCTACAGAGAAACCCTGTCTCAAAAAAAACAAAAAACAAACAAACAAAAATCAGCTTTAAACAACAGACTTGGAGCCAGATAGTCATGTGCTCAAATCTGACTCTTGTATCCCTAGCTATAGGGTCCTGAGAAAGTTACTGATGTATCCAGGATTCTTCTCTATAAGATTAACTCCCTGCAGGAATGTTGGAATCTCTCCACCTGTATCCATGACACAAGGTGACAAGGTTGACCTGGTCAAGTTACCTTTTTTATAAAGAAAAAAAGATATTTCCAAAACCAAGCATATGCAGTGATTAGTACTGAAGAGCTTCCATCTGAAATTGCTTAAATTTGGAGGAAGATTTGAATTATTAAAAATGTTTAAGAGGGAGGATGTTGGAGAGATGCCTGGGGCTGGAATCATAGAGCATGTGCTTAGCATGTCCAGGGCTCTAGGTTCAATTCCCCGCCCCAAATCAGCTACCAAACAAAAAAGTTGTTGATACTATTGAAGTCACCACTGCCTTTTTCCTTCTAGAAGAGGCCTCCCTGAAAACAGGTTTAGGAGCGCCCCCGTGTGGTGTGTGACCTGAATGTCACCTTCTCTACCAGCAAAGCTCAACAATTGGTGGGGAAAAGATTATTTTTAAAAGCTTTTATAATCCAGTTGAGTTTTTATTTTTAATTTTTCAATTTTTTAAAATTTCCCTATGAAATTTCAAATTAGCAATATTTGTGTTCTTATAAATTTTTTAAATGTTTTTAAATAATGAGACCAGTGTGTTTGGTGGGTAGTGCTTAACATGGTAGTCTGGGGAGTCATGCTGAGAACACAAAACCAAAAGTCCATTACAACAGACAGCCAGACTGAAAGTGTTTAGGAAAATGAAACCAAATATTACACACTTAGTTCTCTCTGTCCACTGTGTAGCAGGGGCTATTAACAGGAATCAGAGTACTTGGGTTATATATGTCTCTTGCTCTATGGGTCGTGTGTGTGTGTGTGTGTGTGTGTATGTAACTGTTATAGTGTGTGATATATATATATATATATATATACAATATATATACTGGATTATAATGAATTATCTTAATGAAGTTAGCAAACAGGAACTAAAAGTACCATGAGACAGTATTTAGCTACCTTTCTAACGCATGTGCTTTTGGCTACACTAAAATGAGTCCATGTACCTTGAACGCATGTGCAAACTCCCCAGCCCTGACTTCTGAAAGAAGAGAAACTAGCCCCACCCACTGTAACCCACTCAGGTCTATGGATTAAGACCTGTTGACTTGAGTAAAATAAAAGCTCTTTATGTAACACACTAGCGGGGCAGTAACAAATGATACCATATGGAGGGTGAAATTACAAGCCAGAATATTCCAACTGTGTTTCAGAGAAGGCCCCCATTGTTTACTAAAATTAAACTTTCATTTGAAACCTCAGCAGATTAATAATTAAACATTTCGAAGACCATGCTATTAAGCCATGCCAACCTCCCTGCTAACATAAAAGACTTCATTTGGGAGAAAACATATTTTTGAAACACCTTCAATTGTTTTGTCAAAAAAGCTGTATTCCTACATTCTCCTACATAAAAGCCAGGATATGTGGTTTCCTCTGATACCAAAAACCAGGTCTTTGGCGTGAATTACAAACAATTTAAAGAAACACAACTGTGGGGTCAGTTTTCAACTCATTATAAACCAGGTTTAAAGACTCAGTTTAGGTAACATGTCCATTGTGAATTTCTTCCTAAAATGTTTGTTTTGAGGTGGGGGATGGAGTAGGGTAGGGTAGCTCATTATGTAGCTCAGGTTAGCCTCAAAAATCACTATGTAGTCCAGGCTGGCTTTTAATGCTCTGTTTTGTTTCGGTCTCTTTGGTGCTGGGATTACAGACATGTACAACCATAACCACACACAGTTCAAAAGCTGCTTGAGCACTTGATACCTCACCAGAGGTTAAGATGGCCCAGCCTGCTTTAACCAATTCCAAATACACCTTTCACCCCAAAAGCTCCCACAAGAGAGGCACTTGTCTGTGTCCCTGAAAGAATGAAGCAGCCAAACCATATCTCAGCAGCCTACGGCTAGATTTTTAAAAAGCAGAAAAGATATGTAGCCTCTACTGTTATTGGCCAAAAAGCAGGTTACTCAATATCCTGAGGGCTGAGATGTTGCTCAGTTGGTGGAGCATCTGGCTAGCAGACACAAGGCCCTGGGTTCCAACCCCAACACCTCACAAAACTGAGTGTAACATCTGAGTGCTCAGGAGGTAAGGGCGGAAGTTCAAGTCATCCTTGGCTACAGGGTGAGCAAGTCCAGTTTGGGCTACTGAGACCCTGTCTCAAGAAAACCAAAATGTTGTGGAAAATCCGCCAGGGAATCACTGTTCAGGATTATCATGGAAGTCCTGCGGTGGAAGAAGCGGCTAGCCATCCTCAAGGCAGTGAACAGACACTCAAACAGTGTAGAAGCGCAGCTCTGAGAGCGCTGAGGGAGAGCATTAGCTTCCTGCCCTGTCAAGGTTACACCCAGACAAATTCATTCCTTAGGTGAGTCTTCCCTTGCCAGCACAGTTACTGCAAAGCAGTGAACAGACACTCAAACAGAATTCAAGACTATAGGCAACAGTGTGGAGACCAAGTCCTCCTTGAACTGTGGAAAAATGTGGGTGGCCCAGATTCCTTCCTCTCTTAAATAAGATTGTTTCTCCTCCCTCCAGGGAAGGTGGACATGTTTACATGGATACATCTGACGGGTTGATACAGCTCTTAGCAGTAAGTCCTTCAGAGTGTCGATCTTTACCTTCAGGTTCTTCAACAAAGTTCTGATGGTCAGGGTGAGCTGAAAAGAGGAGAACACAGCCTGAGTCCACTGTCCAGAGGGGCAGGTAGCATCTGCTAAGGAAGGAAGCCTGGGAGGCAGGCTCGGGTTGTGAAGGTCTCAATGGTGTCCTTATCTAGCCACCAGAGCTCTGTCCACCCGGAGCGTGTACCCATGGTGCACCTGGTCCACACAGGAACACAGCTACGAGTGGAAACTGTAAGCTTGCATTCATACTCAGCTGGAACTCTGTTCCCAGAACTCTCACATACTGTATTTTACCCACACCGGAGCCATGCAGGAAACTGTTCCCTCAGTCCTCACTCAGAAGCAAAACTCCACGGTTCCCTCAACCATGCTTCAGAAGACAAGGTGTCAAGTCCCATTAGTGTTCTGACTGGTCTCAGAACACTCTGGTATATTTATAGCCCATCTGACCACTGGAAAGTAATGCTCTTTTTCTACGCGAGGAATGTTAACCACACATGACTCTTCTTCTAGGACTGAGGGAACTGTCTCCAGTCAGCCTAAAAGCCCAGAGGGAATGTCTGCCTGTGACTCTGAAGATGAAGAGATGGAAAGAGCCCCTCCCTGACATTTGGAAATGTGAAGAACAAAAGTACCCATCTAAATGAAAACATATTTGATCATGGAGGAAATGGGAGGAATATTAGAAAGGCAGACTGCCCCTGTTTTACTATTGCTTGCAAAAAGTAGCAGTTAACTGGGCATGGTGGGGTACACGTGTAATCCCAGCACTGGGAAGACAGGAGGATCTGTATGACAAGGTCAGCAGGATCCACATAGTGAGTTCAAGGTCATCCAAGGCTACATAGTGAGAGCCTGCCTGACCAAACAACAAAGTAGCAGTGTATAACCCAGAAAGAAGCAGGAGGCCCTGCTCTGATGAGCAGGGTCACATATGTCAAGCAACTGTCTGATGCCAGCAGTTAGGAAAGGCCTGGCTTTGTTCTAACATCCCAGGAAACCAAAGGAGCCACCCATGGAGTTGACGGGGAGCAGGTAGGAAGCAGTCTACCATGTATTCAAAGAGTAAAGAACAGAACAAGAAGCAAAAAGTATAACGGGTTGGGTGCTGTAGTTTACACCTGTACCCTACGTGAAGCTTCAGCACCAGTTCCACTTGTATCTAGGAACTCACTCGGGGCCAGCCTGGGCAACAAAGCAAGATACCCCACCCCCCAACTCTATCAAAAAACACACACACACACACACACACACACACACACAAATGTAATTTTAAAATGTTTAAATCAAGACATAAAATGAAATTTCACACAAAAAGAGAATAGTCTAGAAACCTACTGTAATGCCAAAGGTAATCATTATTTAGTATTAAGATTTCACATTTTATAAGAAAATAAACTTTGCCAGGGCTACACAGAAAACCCTGTCTCAAGAAAAAAAAGAAAAGAAACAAAAAACAAGAAAAGAAAATAATCTTGTTATCAAAAGTACCTTTCTTGTAATTAAAAAGAAACTTCCAGAACAAAGAAAAAATGCAAGACCTAATTCATATTTTAGGTAACGCAATCCCAGACATAAGCACTGACGTAAACAACTGGAAACAGACAAAAAAACCTCACACCAACCCTGCTCAAGGATGACAAAAACTGTTTTCAAACATCAGCAGACTCAGAATTGCATTAAAAGAACAGGATGCTACCATGAAGTAGAATTTATTCTTGCAAGTTAAGGATGGTTTAGTGCTAGAAAACCTCAAAGGAAAGTCTATGGTGTTACTGATTTAAAAGAGAACAAACATATGATTAATACAGTGTGGGGAAATTAAAAATAAGACAGGAAGAAAAACTAAGAATAGACACTACTGTCTGCTTTAACTGAGATCTACACGTTCTTACTAAAGGAACAAGACTAAGAAAATATGAAGGGCTCAAGGGAGATTAAAGTATTAATTGCAGAGAACAATCTACTTGGGAAAGATACAGAGAATCAATTTAGAGCTGGGGAGATGGCTTGGTTAGCAGAGTACTTGCCACACAAGCATGAAGACCTGAGTCTGAACCCCAAGCGCCCAAGTAAAAGGCCAGGTGCAGTGGTAACCCCAGCACTGGGATGTGGGGACAGGAGGATCTATGAGGCTTGCTAGTCAGTTAATCCACCCATATTGGTAAATTCCCAGTCCAGTGAGAAATCCTGTCTCAAAACAACAACAAACCAAAAAAGTAAAAGAATTCAGTACAGTGATCAAGACAGGCATGGTGGCTCACACCTACTATATCAGCATTTGGGAGACAGATGCAAGAGGATAAAGAGCCAGGGTCAGCCTGAGCTACAACAGGAATTCCAGACCAGCCTGGGTATCATGAGAGCCTATGAATTAATTAACTAACTAAGTAAATGACATTTTTTAAAAAACAAAAATAACAATACCAACAAAACCTAAAAACTGTGTAGACTGGTTTGCCCCACAATAACCATGCACTAGATACTGACAGAAGGTGAATAAGAAGGAAAAAAGTCAGTCAGGCAGTGGTGGTGTACGCCTTTGAACCCAGCCCTCAGGAGGCAGAGGCAGATGGAGCTCTGTGAGCTGGAAGCCATCCTGGTCTATAGCACAAGTTCAGGACAGCTGGGGCTACACAGAGAAACCTTGTCTCAAAGAAGCTCCACACCCCCCAAAAAAGTCAAAACTCCCCTGCTTAATCCATAAATGCACAACATGTCTGTTCAAAGTCCACTCAGAATCTTGTTATTGATCATTAGCTACAACACTGAATTTTTTTCAGTGATATTTCATAAGAGTACCCTGAAAGTCAAACATCTCCAATCCCAGTGCTCAGGGGACTGGGACAGAAGGATCTTGGTTTAAAATTAGCCAGAACAACATAGCAAGTTCTAGGCCAGTCTGGGCTACATAGCAATACCCTAACTCAAAACCAAATAAATAGAATTACAAATGACAATAAAAAATTAGATAAATGGAATATAATGAAAAATAAGACAAATAAAAATAGGACAAATGATATGTATGCAAAGGGTGTGTATATCTTTTTTGCGGGGAGGAGGGTTTAAGACAGGGCTCCTCTGTGTAGCCCTCGCTGTCCTGGAACTAGCTCTTATAGACCAGGCTAGCCTTGAACTCAGAGAGTTGCCTGAGTCTGCCTCCGAGTTATGGCAGATTAAAGGTGAGCACTCTGTGCCACAGCCGAGCTATTATGCAAGTGATAAAACACCTGCACTCATTTCTTTGGCTTATTGTTTAATCTGTTTGTTGATGAGATAAGATCTCCCTACTTGCCTAAACAGTTGGATAAGGAGTTACCATAAACAAAATACAAGGCTGGGACTGGGCTTGGTGAACTGCTTGCTGCACAGGCCTGAGAACTAGTGTTTGATCCCCAGCAGCCACACAGCCAGTGTCAACCTCTGGCTTCCACAGGCACACAAACATCCATGAACACACACAGACAGATCCAAGAGTATGATGCCAGCAGCTGCCACAGTGTCAACACTGCAGCTCTATAAAAAGCCAGTGAATGAAATGTAGACTATTTTATATCTTGGGGCAGTAGTCATTCATAATTTACCAAATGGGGAAAAAATAAAATTAGATACAACATACCAAAACACACTCCAAAGATTTATACACATGATCTCGCACATGCACACACGTGCACACAACACAACACACACACAGCATGCCCCAGATCTAGAAATGCTTTCAAACTTCAAAGATGAGCACATCAATTCTCCCGCGGTATTACCTTAGGAGTCTTTTCACCTCTCCTTTCACATTGATTTCGTTGTTGAATTTTCTCAGCAATTTCTTGGGCAATTTGACAAGTAGAATCATATGTGGAGAACCTGAAATCAAAGTCATACAGAGAGAAGAAGGTTTAAAGTTCTTTAAATAAAGTCCTGGCCAGGGAATTGTGGTGGCATATTGCCTTTAAACCCAGCACTGCAGAGGCAGGCAGATCTCTGTGAGTTCAAGGTCAGCCTAGTTTACATTGTGAGCTCCAGACCAGGCTACATAATGAGACCCTATCGAAAGAAAGACAGACAGACAGAAATAAAAAAAGAAAGAAGGGAGGGAGGGAGGGAGGAAGGGAGGGAGGGAAGAAAGAAAAGAAAGAAAGAAAGAAAGAAAGAAAGAAAGAAAGAAAGAAAGTAAGAAAGAAGCAAAAAGGACCCATAATAGCAGCATGTATTGAATGGGCCAGGCTATGTAATGAGACCCTATCTCAAAGGAAGGAAGGAAGGAGGGAAAGAAGAAAGGAAAGAAGGAAGGAAGGAAGGGAGGGAGGGAGGGAGGGAGGGAGGGAGGGAGGGACGAACGAAAGAAAGAAAGAAAGAAAGAAAGAAAGAAAGAAAGAAAGAAAGAAAAAAGGAACCATCATAATATCATGTACTGAATGGTGCTTCCTATGTACCAGGCACCATTCAGGAAGCTTCACTAATGACAACTAGGTTAATCCACAGGAGAACACTGTGGGGCAAGGAATATGGCCTCCTCCACCTAGATAGGAAGAAACCAGGTACAAAGAAAAGAGGTAGAGCTGACTTGCTCAGAGGGGACGGGACAAAGGACAGCAGCAACTAAGGGTGTCTGGTCCCAGAATCTGAGCTTTCAGGGACTTCACTATTATGCACATGATAAAACATTTGCATTTGTACCTTTGGCTCGACATTATTTGGTTTGGGTTGTTTTGTTTGTTTTGTGGGTTTACTGTTTTTGTTTTAACAGGGCCTCCCTATGTAACCCAGGCTAGCCTTGAACTCATAATTCTCCTGCCTTCCCTTCATGAGTCCTGAATGCTAGGATTGCAGGCCTGCAACACTAACTCTGCAATCACTTCTCTGTAAGACAGTCAGCAAATACTGCTGAAGGGCTTATGCTGAACAAAACATTGTTCCAGGCACTGTCAATCTGAAAGAGCGATAAACAAAACTACCGAGTTCCTGTTTTTAAATGAACATTCCAGTGAAAGGAGACCAGCATCTATCGTATCAGATGTTGATTGGATTTGTGCTATGAAACAGCGAAGATAAAGGAATACGGTGACAAGGAGGTGCTGTATAAAGGAAACACTGAGGCAAGGGGAGAACTGACAACCAAATTCACACAGCAGGGACAGCAGGAACTGTGTATCTGCAGCAAAATGCTCCAGGGGACATGGAAGCCTGGCTAACTCCTAACCCCACCACAATTCTCTCAGAACACTGGCCTTCCACTTGCCACCCAACAGTGTTGGGGCTTTCAAAGATTCAAATGAGGGGATAAATGAGGGGCTGGAGAGATGGCTCTGTGGTTGAGAGCACTGTTGCTCTTCCAGAGAACCTGGGTTTGATTCCCAGCACCCACAAGGCCATCTACAACTGTATCGTGCCCTCTTCTAGCCTCGAGGGTACCAGGCAAGCATGAGGCACAGACATACATGAAGGAAAAACATCCATACACTTAAAATAAAAATAAACGTCTTAAAAAAAAAAAAGATTTCTGAGCAGTGGTGGCACACGCCTTTAATCCCAGCACTCAGGAGGCAGAGGCAAGCGGATCTCAGTGAGTTAGACGTCAGCCTGGTCCACAAAGCCAGGGCTACACAGAGAAACCTTGCCCCCCAAAAACAAAACAAAACAAAATTCAAATAAAATCCTACTAGCACCCAGAGTTATCCTGATTACAGCATTTTTGCTTTCTAATTTTCAGAAAACACGTGTGTGCACATACATCTCATCTCCTATACCCGTCTGCTCCTGAGAAGCAGGGACTCTTGTGCTCATGTGAACAATGCATTTTCCAGGACTGTCCACTGCAAAATACTGAAAATTGTTGTTTGTCTTAATGTCCCAGTTTTATGCATAAGACAAGAAATAATTTATTTCTTTAAAATATTTCAGTACTGGACATGCCCATTACCCCAGCTTCTTGAGGCTGAGACAGGAGAGTCTTAACTTCAAGGTTAGTCTACTTGAGGCAGCTTAGGTAACTTTGTGAACTGTCTCAAATCTTAAAACGTGATTAAAGGCATAGCTCAGTGAGAAGCATTTGTCTAGCTTGTGCAAGGCACTAGGCTCAATCACCAGCATCAGGGGAAAAAAAGCATCTAGCCTGGGCTGGGGATGTGGCGCCAGGTCCTACACAGAGAACTTTATGTTGTTCTATGTTATGTTCTTCACAAGCACTTCAGAGGCAGTGCCACTCCAAACCCTGGACTCATACATCAGTATGCACCATTCAGTACATTCGGGTATAGGTGTGTGTATGAAAAGGAGCAGGGGGTTAATATATATTTTATATATATTTATATATTTTAACATATATAATTTTTAAAAAGTGGGGGTAATGAAAATAGTCCGACTTCCAGATTCCCCCCATTTTACTTGTTTATCTCCACACTATCAGTTATGAAGACAGGGGCTTCAGTCTGGCTCAACAAACACAGATCAAACATATAAAATCCATAACAAATTCCTGTCAAATACAAGCCCTAAATTAAGTACCTCTAGGGTTAGGGGATGGGAGACATTACTGATGTCAGAGGTGCTCAGAAGGGCTGGGCCACAAGAGGACGTCTTGGGCTGACTTCAGACTCAAGCAGATGTCCGTATGGGAAGGGAGAAGCAAAATCTAAACACTGTGGAAGGCATGTGGCACAAGCAAAGACGAATGGAAGAAAGCATGTCTGGCCAAGTAGTGGCCCTGGTAGGAGGGTACATTTAAACAGGACAGATGAGTGGAGGCTAGTTTCTTCAGAGCCTGGCCCAGATCAGACTTACAGGAGAATTTTACCCCAAACACTGAAGCGTTTGAACTCTTTTACTCTTAGTCTCCATTGTTTAACTCGGTGGCTTTCTCATTCGGCAGATGAAAGCTTCCTTGTCTTGCTGAGGACCAAGCTCAAGGCCTTGTGTATGGCAAGCTCGACCACTGAGCTAAGGCTGAAATAAGTTATGAACGTTCAGATGATGTATTGATGTACATGGAAAAAATCACGTTTTTAAGATGAGTTAATGATAAGGAGAAATGCTCCCTGTTGTGGAAAATACAAGCAACTAAAGTTTCAAACAATAAATGCATTGAGGAAAAGTTAACATTGGTTGTTTCCAAATGATAAAGATGCTATTTATTTTTTTCCTGCAGATGATACTCAAGAGTCTCTAAATCTTCTACCAGGGTTGTGGACAATTGTTGAAACTTGATGGGGTCAAAAAAAAAAAAAAAGAAGAAGAAGAAGTGTTAAATTGGCTGGGCATGGTGGCAGCATGCAATCACACCACTTGGGAGACTGAAGTAACAGATCAGGAACTTAAGGTCAGCCTGCGCTCCCTGAAACAATGGAAACAAAACAAAACCCACGAAAATTTCAGCCCAAACAGCCTAGATCCTAGGTAACTCTAACTCTGACCTTGGGAGCCACTCTCCTAATAGTCAAAATTGTCTGACATCGAACAATCATAAACTGTACCAGAAACACCAACATGGCATATTCTCCAACAAGAACTTTATCGAAATATCATGGTATAAATTATGAGACAGAAAGGTCAAGACTGTATAGCAATGTGTTCCTTGGATAAAGATATTTTTCATCATTCTGTCCTTGGGGCTTCACTGCTGAATAAATGGCCCTTATCGGGTGCTGATTTCGGCACTAGGTCTTGCTGACATAAGTCTTCGGGATACTGACGCAGGAAAGAGTAAAATGCCTACCACAAGTGCAAATTTCCCTCCCAGATTACTACAAGTCTTTTTGTGATGAACCCATAACACCTATGCCTGGCTAACCACTAACTAGCTGGTGACCATGGAGTCTGAACCTCGGTTTCTTTCCTTTCTGGGGGTTGATGGGAGAAGGAAAGGACATCCCACCAAAAGGTTTTACAGAACCCAGGGGAGCCTGCACAAGCAGGACGAGGGAGAACTTAGCTCACCCAGGTTACTGTCTCCCGCTCTGACGACCGAGTTAGCACCGAGGAGGCGGGAAGTGGCTGAGTCCCCACAGCAGGGGAGGATCCTCACCCGCTTTGCGCATCCCTAAAAGCCGCCAGCCCCAAGTTCAACGATGGCCAGGGTCTGTGCGAGTCCCTGGGAGCCACTTCCACCCCCAAGTCCCACCGTGAACTACTGCCAGCTCCAGCAACTCACCAGGGGTCCGGGGCCATGGTTCAGTCTCGGCCCGCAGCTGGGACACTTCCTGCTCGCACCAGCTGACTACGGCGGCCTGCGCGGCTCATTCTCCGCAGTTTGGAAGGTGCGCGACCCGAGCCCAGAGTCTACTAAATGAAACGTGTGTCCGGAACCTCAGAATCACGCCAACCAAAGCTCATCCTTGGGGAACAGTGGATTGAAACAATCGATTTTCATTAATTCACACGAACTTCTGGATACAAGGAAAATGGTTGTATTGTTGAGCAGACTCAAAACCTTTTCCCAGGAATGGAAGTTATCAAGACCCCGGCTCTCCAAATTCTTCGCATTTTTTTCTGATTGAAAAACAACAAAAGCTCGCGCCTGAAAGCCCAGCACTTGGAAGGTTTAAGCAGAAAATATACATACAAGCAACGTATTATACTTACATACATAAAAATAGTTGCATACCGTTCTAAAACTTTTAAAATCTTTTTTTAAAATTTCTTTTGCAAGGTAGTATCAATTCCACGACTTTTTTTTTACAACAGACTATTCTTCAGAGGCAATTCTTTGTGTTCAATTATTTTCAATAATCATCATAAGGGACTTAATTTTATAGTTAAGACAAAAGTCACACACTCTTACACGGGACACGCGCGAATTCATTCTGCATATTTAGTTTTCACCTAACACCTAAATTTCTAGAATGAATGAAAAAAATTAGAAGGAAGCCCTTTCTACATTTGCGAAAGGGTAAATCAACTTGAACTTAGCGGGCTGGGGTTCTGCTCGAACGTAAACCTAGCACGCATGCGTGCGCCGGTTGCCATAACGACCATTAGACGCTGCACCCTGAAGTTGAGGAATCAATGAGCTGAAGTTCTCCACGATGGAAGAACAAATTTTACCAGAGACAGACGTGGCTGAACTGGAGCTTGAGGCTGTGATCGGCTTCAATGGTGAGGCCTCGAGTATCCGTGATACCTCAGGGGCAGTGAGACGCTCACTTGGTAGCACCTGAGAGGCAGTGGGGACAGTGGTAAGAGCCTGGCCAGGCACCACCAGCCCGGGGATGATGAAGGATCTTGGTCTCACTCCCGAGCCTCAGAAATTGGAATGGGATAACAGCTCAGATAAAACGCCACACCCAGGGACCAAATGTGCCTAACTTAGTAGGAAGTATGAATAAGGGTCTCCCCATCTCTCTCTCTCTCTCTCTCCCTCTCTCTCTCTCTCTCTCTCTCTCTCTCTCTCTCTTTCTCTTCCTTTTTCTCTCTCTCTTTCTCTCTCTCTCTCTCTCTCTCTCTCTCTCTCTCTCTTTCTCTCTCTCTCACACACACACACACACTCGCACGCACCTTGGCTCTGGACACCACTCCCTACCTCTATCCCTCAACGACCTCCACTCTTGACTAACCACCCAACCTAAAGCAAAAAGAAAAAAACACCACACACCACCTTTCCCCACCTCTTGCTGATCTTCAGTGGAGAAAGGGCTGCAAGGGAACACGTAATTGCTCTAGAGGTGCTCTGTGTCCTCTGTCCCAAGTAAGGACTCTGAAGGGTTTAAAAGAAGGAGGACTGTAAGGGAGACCTCCATGGGAGATTCTGGAGGGGCCTGGTCATTGTCATTTCTTGTGACTGTCATGGTAAACACTGTGAGAAATTGCTGTGATGGGGCAGGTCATGTATGGGTGGGGGTCATGCTTGGGGAGTTGAGAAAAGGCAAGGAATCAAACTTTGGGGGAGGAAATCAAATCAACTTTTTAAAAAGCACGTTGTGATGCCTGGTAGCTTTATGGTTGTAAGGATGTGGTGTGGAATGATTACTGAGTTAAGTTTTAAGCACTTCGGGCCTTAGCTCCCGAGTCTTCATTGTACTATACAACTCTGGAAGTCAGCATTTCCTGTATCCGAGCCAGCGTTGTCTTTAGAGATGGACAGGATTACTGAGAAGGAGTGACCCCCAGTGAATATCTTGGTGAGCCAGTGCAAAGACACCCGGAGACCTGAAACTGAGTTCTTGCGAACATATTGGGATTGTCTGAAAGAAAATGGCACCCAAAGGGAGTGCCACTAATGGGAGGTGTGGTCTTGTTGGGGCAAGTGTGGAGGCTGGCTTTGAGGTCGTTCAAGCCATGCCAAGTCAGACCACTTCCTGATGCCTGTAAGATATAGGACTATCAGCTACTTCTCCTGCACCATGTTTGCCTGCATGCCACCATGTACGCACCATGATGATAATGAACTAAACCTCTTAAAATGCAAGCCACTCCAATCAAATGTTTTTCCTTTATAAGAGTTGTCATTGTTGTGGTGTCTCTTCACAATAGAAACCCTAAGACACCTACTAACTAGCTCTCAGAAGAGGGAATCGGAAACGTTTTATTAAAGTCTGGATGAAAGATTGCTTTTTTTTTAATGGCATATGAATGTTTTGCACGTCGGTGAGTCGTGCCCAAGAAGGACAGAAAACAGCATCGGATCCCATGGGACTAGAGTTCCAGATCAGTGTGAGCCCCATGTGAGTGCTAGGGATCAAACCTGAGTCCTTTAGAAAAGAAGCCAATGTTCTTAACTACTGAGCCAACTCTCCAGTTCCCTACTATGCTATGTCTATGAGGTGGGGGTTGGAGGGGCATGTAAGTGCAGGCAGAAGGCCAGAAGAGGGTGTGAAATTGCATGAAGGTGGAGTCACAGGTGGTTGTGAGCTGCCTGGTATGTATCACTGGAAGTAAGTTCCAGTCCTCTGCAAGAACAGTGTATGAACGCTTAACTTTTTGCTGAGACTTCTCTTAAGCCTGTGGGAGAAAGCATTTGTTGAAGACTTGAAAGAAGTCAAGGAAAGAGTGACCTCTTTGAACTTAAATAGTCCTTAAAATTGGGTAGGAACCAGTGGCTGAGGATTGAGGTATAGGTGATTCCAAGTAGCTAGGATAGGGGGAAAGGGAGAAATAGAGAGCGTAAGGCTTACTTAGTGAATAGCAAGTAGTGTAGCATGAATTCTAATCGGTCTTAATAGTAAAAACTCAGAGTCAGCTATCAGGGGGTAGAAATGCTGAAGATCAGAGAAGTAGAGCAGCTAGCCACTAGAGTTCTTACCTCTGCCAATGCCCAGACCAAAGGGGTGATCCTGTCCTCAGACTGCATCCTCACATGCTTGCTCAGACTGGCTGCAATGAGCTCCTGTCTCCTCCCTTTTCACCACCACCTGACTTCATTTCTCTTTTAGACTGGAACATTCTCCTGTGACCCAGGGTGGCCTTGAACTAACAGAAATCTGTCTGTTCCCTTAGCCCTGGGATTAAAGATGTGTCCCACCACTGCCTGGCTTCTATGGCTAACTAGTGTGGCTAGCTCTACACTCTGATCTTCTGGCAAAGCTTTATTTGTTAGATCATACACAAAATATCACCACAAAATAGTTTGCAGGAAGTTCAGGACTGGAAGAACAAGAAAAAGAACCCAGGCTCAGAGGTCAAAGGCCTTAGCCACTAGGTAATGGAGCTTATAGTTTCCATGGAATTAATCCAAAATTGAAAGCAAGCTGGGCGTGATGGCATACACCTTTAACCCCAGCACTTGAGGGCAGAGGCTAGTGGATCTCTGTGAGTTCAAACCTAGCCTGGTCTACATAGTGAGTTCTAGGGCAGCTAGAGCTACAAAATGAGACCCTGTCCCCCCCCCAAAAAAAAATAAAAAGAAGTTGAAAGCAAAGCAAAGCGGCAGTAGAGCTCATGGTAACTGCTATAGTGCTAAACTTGAATTTGAACGCAATGATGCACATATGTAGCTGTATTCTACAGTTCTAGGTATTGTACTTTGACATGAATTTATCATGTAAACAGACAAAATATAATTGTGTTGGATAAGAAAACATCAGACTGTAGCTATTGAGTTCAGTCACATTCAACTGATTTTCCATTATGTCTAGAGCTCTTATAAGTTAAAAACAGCAGTAGTAACAAATTGGTCAGGAATCTGCAGGCCAGATTTGATGTGGGATTCCCCTCTGTATGCTGTAAATGCCATTGGTGAATAAAAAATCTGTTTTGGGCCTATTGCAGAGCAGAATAGGGCAAGATGGGAATTCCAAGCAGATAGAAGAGAAGAGAGAAGGTGGAGTCAGAGAGATGTCATGGAGCTGCAGGAGACAGACATGCCCAAACCTTGCCAGTAACCATGAGCCTTGTGGTAAAATACAAAATAATAGAAGTAAGCTCGTTTAAGATGTAAGAGCTAGCCAGAAATATACTAGAGTCATTGATCAAGCAGTATTGCAATTAATATAGTTTCTGTGTGGTTATTTCAGGTCTGGGCAGCCGGGAGACAAATGAGCAGTCTCTGTTTGCACAGATTTGTCCCACTGTGTGTTTTGTAAATAAAGTTTTATAGGAACTCAGCCATGTCCTTTATTTAGGTGTTGTCTACGGCTACTTTCACACTATACTAGAAGAGATGAGTAACAGCAACAAAGACCATACAATTCAAAAAGTCTAAAATACTTATTTTCTGGCTCTCTATAAAAAGCTAAACTCGGGCCGGGTGGTGGTGGCACACGCCTTTAATCCCAGCACTTGGGAGGCAGAAGCAGGTGGATCTCTGTGAGCTCGAGGCCAGCCTGGTCTACAAGAGCTAGTTCCAGGAAAGGCTCCAAAGTTACAGGAAAAACCCTGTCTCAAAACACCAAAAAAAAAAAAACCCTAAAAGTGTTATTAAAAGTGATAGCACTTTTTATTTCTTCAATTGGCAAGGCTAAATATATGGATCATACTTACGAAGGTGAGAAGAAGGAGTTTCCGTCTACAATTGCTAGAAGTAGAAATTGCAACACTTTTCAGAAGAGGAGTTGGCTTCATTGGTTAAGTGATTGCAGTACAACCACCAGGACCCTGAGTTTGGGTCTTCAGCTGTCACATAAAAAACTGGGCACAGTGGTGGACGTCTGTAACCCTAGGACCAGAGTTTTGGGGGAGGAGACAGGCAAATCCCCAGAGTCAGTCTAACCAATCAGTATGTTCTGCATTCACTAAAAAATAAGGTGGAGAGACATAGAAAAAGATATCCTTCATCAGCCTCAGACCTGCCTGCACACACATGAACACACACACACTGTGA